CAGACGAGGTCGGCGTGGAGCGACTGGAGCGGGCCAAAGCCGCCTCGCGAGAGGACCTCGAAGAGGGCGCGCTCGGTGCAGCGGTGGCGCTGGTGCACGGGCGAGGCGACGCGCGGGTTGACGCCAAAGTACGACTGCAGGAAGCCGGTCACGTTGATGGAGGCGACCGCCAGAGGGAAGCCGGCGAGCGCCACCTCCTCCCAGGCGCTCTCGGTGACGGGAGGCCACTTGCCGGACGAGAGGAGCGCGACGAGGTGCGACAGGCCCATCACGCCGGCGCCACGAAAGTCGGTGGTCGGGTCGTCGCCTTGGAAGCCGAGCCGCGTCCACAGCGGCGACCGCCAGGCCTTGGCGGCCTCTCCTCCGGCGCCGCTGCCGGGACCCACGCCGCCGCCCAAGCTGCTACCGGCGGCCCCGAAGGAGTAGCGGGACGGCACGTACCTCGAGAGCTGCTCGAGGAGGAGCGCGTGGCTGCTCGGGTCGAACTCGAGAGTGGCGGCGGCACGCATCCGAGCGTACGTGTTCATCTGGCGCTCGCGGAAGCCGGTGAAGTCGCTGCGGGAGGAGCTTGGCTTGCGGCGGAGAGGGCCAGGGTGACCGAGCGGAAGGAGGGAGGCACGCGGGACGACGACGGTGGGCATGACCGCTGCTGGCCTCCGCAACTGGGCAGCTGCTGGGCCTCCAGTGCTTCGCTATCTCCAACGCTGAGGACCAAGGCAAAACCAGGAGGAAGCAGGGAAGCAGGGCACCAAGGATGACGCCCCCCGCAGAATGCAAGCGCAGCGAAGGGAGAAAAAATCAAATGTAACTCTCACTCCCCCCGCCCCCCAATATACAAAAAATGATCCTGCCACCCCTGTGTCAGTGTGCCTGTGGTTGCGAGAGACTGCCAGTGAGAAGCTGGAGGCAGGTCGCTAGACTGAGATGAGACCGCCAGTGGAGTTGGGAGTCCACCGAGCACCGCGCTGCGAGCCTGTGTCCCTTGTCAGGAGCAGGAGAGCCCCACCTGTGCCCCTGGTCGTCCTTCCAAAATCCTGCTCGTGCAGGTGTGGACCCTGTCCTCCTCCCCCATCCTCCCTCGTTTGGGTTTGTCTGCCTTCTTTCTTTCTTTTTTACAAAAAAGAAACGTGAGACGTTTCTCTCTTGAAACGTGTGAGTGTGAGAGTTGTTTGGTATTGCTAAAAATCTCTCTCTCTCAAAAAATGCTGTGTGGATGTTGGTAGTTAGAGTTGTTTGGGGATGCTAAAAATCTCTCTCTCGGGACACAGGCACCAACAAAAAAAGCCAGGGAAATCCCGCACACCTCGGCCGGCCTTCCTTTCGGACGGACAACACAGCTTTCGTTGATCGTTCGGCCGCCCGCCGCAAGCTGCGAAAAACGAGCGGCCACGCCAGCCGCGAAAAGCGAGCGGACAAATATGCGAGTTGCGATCTCTGGGTGGCACTGCCACCGGTGTCGCTCGACGTCCTGTCGACAGCGTGCCGACAGCGACACAGACCATGTGGGACGCGTCGAGTGTCGACCTCTACTGCTTACCCAGCCTTTGAGTGTATCCTGGCTGTGGTCCCACACCCACTGGTGTCCATCTCAGAGACCGCAGGAGGTCATGAGGGTCGATGGGAGTGCCAACCCCACAATGCCTAAAAAACCCAGCCCAGTAGTCAGGGCTGTCCATCAGAGCCGTCCAGTAAGCTCGGAGACACCCCATTAGCGCGGCTCGACCTCTTTGTACTTTGAGTCACTGCCTTCCCGGCGGTTTGGCTGTAGAGCCTCTACAACAAACTCTACAGCAAAATCGCGCTCTACATCGCTCTACAGGCGACTCACATCGTCACGCGCCGAATGTATACTCGAGTAGAGCTCTACAGCGCTCTTATTAATTATCCCATCGATGCTTGAGGCTGGCACTTCGCTCCACAACCGTCCCGCCACCCCTGCCGTGTGCGATCCTGGCCTCACTGTCTTTCGATATTGCTCGCACACCCACTCGTGCGCGCTCTTACACATGTGTCCGTACGTCCGTTAGTTGGCACGCCGTATAAGCTGCTTTTTGGGGGCGCGCCGCCAGGCGCGTCCCCACTTTTGTATCACAGCTGCGAGGGCCAACCAAGGGATTCGGCGCGTCAAGTTAACTTGACCGCTCGTTCGGGCTTTGGGCCGCAGGCCGGCGCGCAGCGCCACGCCGCCAGGCGTCCGCCGGAGGCCCGCCGGAGGCTCTTCCTGCGGCCACATTCTGGCAAGATTCCGCCGCGCTCAGGCGCCCAGAGGATGCGTGCGCTGCGCTCAAACGTCGCGATTTGGCAATAGGCGCTCGAGCCGGCGCACAGCGGACGGGTGCGCCGCGCAGGGGGGGTCGGAGGGGTGCGAGAGGGGGCGTGGGTCAGGCGCGCACCGGCCGGCTCCGGGAGCGGCCGTCACGTCGAGGAGGGGGGCTGTCGGCGGCTCGAGCGGCGAGGCGTGCCACTCTGCTTCGCCGCCGACAGCCCCTCTTCCGAGCCGGCGCGTGGCGACGAGCCGCGGCCAGTGTCGCTGGTTCCTTTGGCGGCGCAGCGTTTATCCCCCCCACCCGCGCCCGCCCGCCCGACCGCCCGCCCGCCCTCAGGCCTTGCCCCTTCGCAGGCGCGGGAGCGCTCGCCGGCGAGCACCTCCTACCTCTCCTCGCCCGGCTGCTCCCTTGCCCCGTCGCCCGCCGCGCCCTCGCCCGGCCTCAAGAGCTTGGCGGCCTTTGTCCGCCAGCTCAAGGCGTGGGACGAGGCGTGCGCCGACGGCCGCTCGTCGTGCTGGTTCGAGACGGAGGGCGACCTCCCGCGGCTGGCCGGGGAGGCGCTGCTGGCCGAGGCGGCCGCGACGGGCGCGAGGCGGATCGCCTTTGACGCCGTCGCGGCGCGTCTCGAGGCGACCGCGGCGCCGCCGCCGCCTCTCGGCACCGCCTTGGCCGCGTGGCCCACGGGATGGGGCATCGAGGAGGGCAACTTCTGCGGGCTGGCGCACTGGGCTGTGGAGGTGTGGCACGCGGCCGGGTCGGTCGACGCGAGCCGGTGGCAGGTCGAGGCTGACGGAGGGCGCCTCTTCTTTGTGCGGGTCGCGGAAAAGGCCGCATAATCGCGCTCTCCGCCGAGGCCCGCCTCGGCGACGGCGCTCGCCGCGCAGCAGCAGCAGTAGCAGCAGCTCAGCAGCAGCACGTGATTCTTGACACATGATTACACTACACAGTCCTCCCTTCGGTTGTCGTTTCGACCCTGTTTTTTTCTTCTATCGCAGCGCACTCGCATCTGTGAGCCTAGCGCAGCGCGAACTCGCCGTCTGAGCCTAGCGCAGCGCGAACTCGCTCTGAGCCTAGCGCAGCGCCTCGGAAAACACCATTTTGGCTCGCCAACAAGCCCTCCGCGCCCCCACACCGTTAGGATAATACATTTTCTTCCTTGCTTGACCTAGATTTGGCAAGCGCTTCCGAGACAGCTCGCCGGCCCAGCTCCTTTTGCGACCAATGCCGGCCGCCGGCGCCAGCGATTCGGTCCCGCCCCTCAGGGGCGGCTACGTCGGTGGCTACAAGCAGATGAACATCAAGGAGTCGGAGTTCGAGTGGCTGCGCGGCTACCTCCAGCGCGAGGAGTCGACGCAGAAGCACTCGATGGGCGAGGCCAGCGATTCGTCCGAGACCGGATCCACCACGGACATGACCGACATCAGCTTCGAGCCGGTCGCGCACGCGCCCGTCAAGGCGATCGTGCTCGACTCGCCCATCCACTCGGAGCCGCGCACCGAGTCGCGCTCCTCCACAGACCCCGACACGGCGTACAAGCGGCGGAGAAAGGTGGGGTGGACCTCGACGGAGGACCTTGCGATCCTCGCCTCCGCGCGGCGCCTCGGCACGCAGTGGAACCGCATCGCCGCCCAGCTGCCCGGCCGCACCGCCGACGCGGTGCGCAACCGGTGGCACCGGCTGCAAAAGTCGCATTCGCTCGGCGACACTGAGGAGGGGCGCGCTGCCCTCGACGCGCTGCTGATCGCGTGCGGCTTCGACAAGGACTGGGTACCGCCCAACCTCGAGGCCGGCGGCCCCTACCCCGGCGACGAGGTGCGAGCCGCGCCCCTTCCCCGCACCCCCCGAACGCGCGCCAAAACCACCAGATTCGCGCCTGCTTCCTTGCGCGCGCGCCACGCACCCCCCCCCCCCCGGGCCCCTCCCCCCCCCCGCCCACCACCCACCACCCACCCAACCCACCCCTCACCCCCCCGCCCCCCGCCCGCGCCAGGTGTGCATTTGGAGAGGACCAGTATTCG